AAGACGGGAACGATCCATTTAATCAGAATCTATAGATACCGTTATATAATGTGTATATAAGAAGGCGCAACTTGATCATTTCCGTTTTAGCGCCATCTAGTGAGTAAATTATGTCATACACTATCTTGAATAGCTTTACAGAAGGAACCATATCATATATGCTTGGGTGATCTCTATCATCCAAATATGCCGCTTCATGGGTATAGTTTTACAATGACCCCTCCCTATGAGAGATCTGCCTTCTAAAATATTTTTTGATAATTTAAGCTGAAAGCGCATTGAGTTTACTTTACAAAACTTTTGAAATTTCAAAAATACGTTGAACCTTCGCAGAGTTATTACGATTTGAATTTGGGGTCAAATTGACCCCGAGGTACAGACAACGTAAGTTGTTTTTGGCACAAGCGAAGGGTTAATGAGTTGACACTTTTCTGGAAAATGATTTTTTTTTACTCATGAATGGGTACTTAAAAGTTAGCGTAAAACATACCATTATAAGCCTGGTACGCAGCTGAAAAGAAAACGGAAAAGTAATTTTGAGGAATATTCCCAAAAGTAAATTTGACAGCTATAGGGAGGTGTCTTTTGCTAAATTTTGAGTTCATAGGTAGGTGTCGTCTAATTTTAAAATCAACAATTATCAATTTTTATGTTGTTAAAATGCATCCAAAACATCATTTTAACAACAAACGTTAAAATTACCTAACGGAATAATTGGTCAGACCATTATTCCGCAAGGAAAATGAAATTGCATTCAGAATGCGCCGCCTTCATATCGATCACGATACTAATGTAATCGATCTTTCCTTTACCGATTTCTTTTGAACTGCGTACTTGGTCAAGAAATGCTAAGGAAAAGAAATTTCTTTAGCATTCCGTGTCCTATCCCGTAGCACGTAAAAACGTCATTACTTTTCAGCTGCGTACCAGGCTATAAGCCTGGTACGTAGCTGAAAAGAAAACGGAAAAGTAATTTTTGAGGATTTTTCCCAAAAGAAAATTTGACAGCTATAGTCTGTTAAATTTTGAGATATAGCGAGATGTTGTCAAATTGTAAAATCAACACTTATTAGTGTTTATGTTGTTTAAATGCATCCAAAACATCAGTTTTGCAATAAACGCCAACATTACCTAACGGAATAATTGATCAGACCATTGGAAGATTGCCGCAAAAGCTCAACGCAGATGTCGCCACTGCATGATGATGATAATGTTGACAGACTGCATATAAAATTCGTGAAAATTAGCATTAAATTATAATTTTCATCAAGCCTACGTGAAATCCTTCCAATATAACATTCGAATTGAAGAAGAAAACGTTTTTACGATCAGACTGATGTGCATCTTTGACTTTTTCAGGTGAACTTTCAAAAGATATATTCATTTCATTTCACAGCTCCATCAATGCTGCATCGTAAATATGATGGTAAACAGAAGTAAATTGCTCAATTACTCAAAATAAAGATGATTTGTCATCTTGTTATCACTTTGAAGACCATCTAGCATCATTTTATAGTATGGTGCTTGTTAAGTAAATCAAGTTCCGGTTCGTTTTCCGTCGAAAATTGTGAGTATCAATATGTTTGCTTAAAAAAGGCCAAAATGAACATTTATTGAATATTGGCGTCCTATACAACCAATTCTCTATTACCACCAGCATGATACAACCTTTCCTAAGTAAATGCACTTAATTTCCACTTTCATCTTAGTGAAAATCGCACATATTTACCATTTTCTGAAAAATGCAGCTGCGCAGGAGGTAACCTCTCCCTGTGGGTGCAAACTTGTTATGCATAATTTTCCATGAAAATATCTCCGATCCATACCGAAATAATAACAAATAGTTTTCAAACACGTTTTCTTACACGATTCAAGCAAAAGTTTCCACGGGAAATTATTAGTTTTTCTTTATGGACCGATTTGCCCCAAAAAGCGTCTGTTTTACTTAGAAAATTTGGAAACTATCCTCCTTCTAGTAGTTCTCACTTCGAAATGTAGGTGGCGAAAGCTTGGAAAAGTTTCGCTGCAAGACGCCAATTATTCCGCAAGGAAAGTGAAATTGCATTCAGAATGCGCCACCTTCATGTCGATCACGATACTAATGTAATCGATCTTTCCTTTACCGATTTCTTTTGAAAGCCTGGTACGCAGCTGAAAAAAAAACGGAAAAGTAATTTTTGAGGATTTTTCCCAAAAGAAAATTTGACAGCTATAGGTGGCTATTGGCAAATCAAAGTTAGCACTCGTGGAGAATAGAAGAACTATGAAAGTGATGATGGTTTCAAAATTTTACACGTTGAGGTATACGAGTACAATCTTAAAATGCTTCTATTTTGCAAATGGAGCATTTTATTTAAATCTGGTTGATGCTACGTTAGTAGAAAACATAAGGACTACTCAATAAACATATAATATAGAAAAAATAATTTCTTTCCTGATTTTTAAGTGTATACATAGATTTCAGCTTTTCTACCACTATAGCAGAAACCAGATTTAAATAAAATGCTCCATTTGAAAAATAAAAGCATTTTAAGATTGCAATCGTATACCTTCCCGTGGAAAATTTTGAAACCATCATCACTTTCATAGTTCTTCTATTCTCCACGAGTGTCAACTTTGATTTGCCAATAGGCTGCTTAATTTTGAGATTATAGGGAGATGTTGTCAAATTGTAAAATCAACACTTATTAGTGTTTATGTTGTTTAAATGCATCCAAAACATCAGTTTTGCAATAAACGCCAACATTACCTAACGGAATAATTGATCAGACCATTATTCCGCAAGGAAAGTGAAATTGCATTCAGAATGCGCCACCTTCATGTCGATCACGATACTAATGTAATCGATCTTTCCTTTACCGATTTCTTTTGAACTGCGTACTGGGTCAAGAAATGCTGAGGAAAAGTAATTTCTTTTGCATTCCGTGTCCTATCTCGTAGCACGTAAAAACGTCATTACTTTTCAGCTGCGTACCAGGCTGAACTGCGTACTGGGCGAGGGGGGCGACACATCTAAATCTCAATTGTAGATGCTCAAACAATCTCACACTAGTGAATTAATCTTCGAAAAATCTTCTTTCATTTCGCGCATCTACTTGCATTGCGCATCATCTTTTTAGCCTGGTACGCAGCTGAAAAGAAAACGGAAAAGTAATTTTTGAGGATTTTTCCCAAAAGAAAATTTGATAGCTATAGGCTGCTAAATTTTGAGATTATAGGGAGATGTCGTCAGATTGTAAAATCAACACTTATTAGTGTTTATGTTGTTTAAATGCATCCAAAACATCAGTTTTGCAATAAACGCCAACATTACCTAACGGAATAATTGATCAGACCATTATTCCGCAAGGAAAGTGAAATTGCATTCAGAATGCGCCACCTTCATGTCGATCACGATACTAATGTAATCGATCTTTCCTTTACCGATTTCTTTTGAACTGCGTACTGGGTCAAGAAATGCTGAGGAAAAGTAATTTCTTTTGCATTCCGTGTCCTATCCCGTAGCACGTAAAAACGTCATTACTTTTCAGCTGCGTACCAGGCTTTTGCAGGAAATCTTCAGAATTGTCATCAATCTTCTTTCTATCTACTCAGCGTGCGAGCAGCTAGCCACAGCAAAACACAATATTTTCTGCATCGTAGATAGAGTCGTCCCCCTCGGTACTGGGTCAAGAAATGCTGAGGAAAAGTAATTTCTTTTGCATTCCGTGTCCTATCCCGTAGCACGTAAAAACGTCATTACTTTTCAGCTGCGTACCAGGCTATACAAGCAAACAAATCTGGATAAACAATAGAAAAGGGCCCATCAGCATTTGTAAACAAACCGTTCCAAAGCCCTTCACTCACAAAGCGAAGGCCACTCACGCAAATCAACCCCATCATCGGATAGGGAAAACTTCCACCTACACGATGATGGTGTTGGTTTGTGTGGGCGGCCTTCGATTTGCGAGGAATGGGCTTTGGAACGGTTTGTTTACAAATGCTGATGAACCCTTTTCTATTGTTGATCCAGAAATTCAGTCTGATGACCGACACTCTCGACACTGCTGGCGCAGCTGCGACATTTTTCCGGTGTTAGGTACTCTATTCTGAAGTCTGTGAAAAGGAATCTAGATGATGTAGAACGTCCAATGTAATACTCATTAATTGTGCCATTGCGAAAAATCGTCCAATGTAGCATGTCTGTCGACTTAACTAGTCAAAACGACGTATGGCGGAAATGTTACATTGGTTATTTAACAAAAAATTTTCGAGATTTTTTTTGTATGAATCAAACGGTTTGAACATATATATATATATATATATATATATATATATATATATATATAAATACTGGGTTGGGAGGGAGCATCAGGGTATCATTTGACCTGGAACTGGACGATTGGAGTGGTATGACAACCGGAGTCTAGGAGGGAATAAACACTATCATTTTCTTTATCCTACCGATTCGATTATGATGGTGTGAATTCTACTCCAACAGTTTCATGGAGATTGACGCGCCCTTCTTAACAAACCATCCTGTAGGAAGCTTAATAAGTATTGCGAATTGCGTTATTCGATTTGTTGGATCGTATCGTTGGAAGGAGATTCTTAAATTCCCGTGGATTTCGCGTAAGTGCCTCTGCTTACGGGTCCACCCCACCGTTTTTGGCCCTTCATACAGCGATATTGTGAATTCAGATCGGTAGCTCAAATTGATCTTGCTATTAAGTGGAGCTGCATACCAGACAAGATCTTCGAAGGGATGGTGGCTACCCTACATACATACATACATCAAACGGTTTGAACGAAAACAATAATATGGGCTCGATGGGTGGTTGCCCAGTGTCTACACTTCTTAACTATCGCATTACAAAATTTAGGGGTGACCCCTGAGACATAAGGGTGGCGTATTTTACCGCATTTCCCGCCACTGGTCCCAGAAGGAGAAGAGTCTCTTATGTTCTCCCACTTTAGAAAAGAGGTAAGGCCACCAAGCGTCTCCATTACAAAGCATCTGGTTCTTAGACTCCAATCAAATAATATTTATTATCAAGTTATCCTTAAAACTATCATATAGTTTTGTTGATTTCTCAAGTACTGAGTTTATTTTGTTAACGTTTAGTCAAATTTAACTTTTGTTTCTGTTTCTCTTCAATGGTTCATTCTCAGAAGCAAAACGTTATGCGTCTTGTTGTACAGGCTTACCTTGTGATTATTTATCGTCTCTTTTTCATCCAAAGAGCGAAATGTTACATCTAAGTTTGATAACAGTTATATTCATTATCGATACAACCCCTGATCAGGTAAGGTGGCATTCAAGTGTCCCGTTGCTCAACAACGCGCAGGCCGGGACAGATCATTTCCACTTATTATACTGAATTATGTTTTGCTGCTATGCAATCGAAAGTGCCGGAAACATTTCACGTGGCACATTTTTATTTTTAGGTATAAATAAATCTAAATCCAGGTTCTTTATTCTTTCATCTACTGCGATGCGATGTGGAAGTGTGGAAGGAAAATTAACTAACGGGAAATTGAAGTTCATAACTTAAGCCTAACAAGCGACAAATGTGGTTGTATCAGTTCCACATGGAGCCGAAGAAAAAGTAGCTCGGTAAACATACGCGCAGCATATCGATTGTGCCTATGTTGTTTCTCCGCTTGGAGAGATACTTTACATCTGTGGCAACTGATCGATCGGGGTGGTATACTTGAAGTCCTCCGGAAACAGTTCCGCCGCGTGCGGGTACATCAGCCGGTAGGACTGCCGGATGGTCACGTCGGCCACACCGGCAATGTCGCCGATCTCTTTGTGGGTCTTCTTCTGATCGGAGGCCTGTGAGGCCATGTAGATAGCTGCCGCGGCCACCGAAATCGGTGACCGTCCAGGTACGATATCCATCTCGACCGCTTTCCGGGCAATGTGCGTCGCGGCCCGCTGTACCGTGTTGGGAAGGTCTGAATAAAGCGTACTGCGTTAGTGACGGGTTAAGGGATTTCATAGAAGCTTTGTACATACCAAGATTAGCGCAGAAACGGGACATGAAGTCAGCGGTTGTGATGAGATCGACGGATGTGGCCAGTGCCTTCAGAGTCAGTTTGAAACACCGGCCAATCTCCTTCTTACTGATCTTACTGACGGCACAGATTTCTTTGAACGTACGCGGCACTCCTTCCTGTCGGCAGGCAATGTACAAGCAGGCAGACGCTTTGGCATCGTTGGAACGACCTTTCAGATTTTTGCCATCGTGAACCTGTTTGAATAGATTATTTGCCCGATCCACGATCGTCTTTGGCAAATTGATCCGATCGGCCATTGTGCTGATTTCCTTGAAGGCTGCAATCAGTGCCCGATCCGAACTGCTCATCGTACGACGGTTCTGATATTTGGCGGCTGCAAATGGACAGGATTGGGATTAGGTAAACCCTTGCAAAACTCAACGGTTCAACTTACTTCCGAATGCATCGAATGAGGCTGGTCCTGTTCCGGGTCCGATCATTGTGGATAAATCACCTCCGCTAAGCAGTGGATTTTCCGGACCACCGACACGAGACGGATCCACTCCGGCCTTTTCATTACTGAATGTTCTCCACTCGGAACCGACATCGATAACCCTGTCTCCGACTACCAAGCCACACTCGGAACAGATCATGTCCCCGGCTCGATAGTCCTCAATCAGCGGTGCATCCGGATGCGAATAACAACATACTTTATTCAGGTGAAGATCCCTGTAGACAAAAACATAAAACATTATTTACAAACAGCCGCATCATTAATCTCAGCCATGCCAAACAAAGTACTTTACAGAGGCATCCTCTTGGCATCGGCGACGAAAACAAAACGATTTTCATTCTCGTTCGTTCGTAACCAATCTGTGCGGCACAAAAAAGAGATTACTAGGTCGTGACATCACAAACCACCCGACGTCCGTCGTCGTCCCCCTTCCCAAACGTGCGACACGACCATCAGACACCCTTTTCTGCTGCCGTTCCCGACCGTGCGCTTACCTTGAAGAGCTTGCCATCTTCTGTGCTTGAAATGGCGAAGAAACCTTTCGTCTTCGGACCAAATTCCACTTCCTGCCTGGTCTTCACAGCCTTATCGAACGAATTCACTAGGATAGAGTGATCCCGTCGGTTGTATAACGCAAATACGAAACAATTTTCCTCCGGAGGCACTTATTTACAGTTTCACTTTGGGTTGCTTTTTTTCCTTTCTTTTTTGCCTCTCTCTTGTCGTTTGTCTGCTGATTTTCTGTCGTCGTAGCGTCAAACTGGCTGTCAAAATTTGACATACTGGCGCAATTTCTATATTCGCATGCAGGGACGGCGATAGAAGGGGGATAATTTTCTGTCGGGTCACTTGAAAGCACTAGCAGCACGAGTTATTTTCTGGAGAATGCACTGTGAAAAAAATGTAATATCAATCAACGTAATTCAAGCTGACCCGCATAAACGCGAACCATAAATTGACCTTACCGATAATGGTTATAAATTGTTTATAATCCCTCCTTAACTTTAACTGAAATGGTTTTGGAACCTTACATGAACGTTTGTGTGATAAAGTTTTAACCTTATGTATTATGGTTTTTAGGAAGCGGACCTTACAAATAATGGGTCGTTAAGAACCATTACCATTCCAAATTCTTGTTTTCTCCATACATTTTCGGAAAGAGAACTATATTAGAACGTTTTTACTTATGGTTTGAGAACATAATGGTTATGGTTATGGTAGTCAGTAAGGCCCATGAATGGTTTTGTAACATCGATCAACTTTATGTGGAACGAGATGTGGAATATATCGCGAATGGATTGCCTGTAAATTAATAATTATCAGTTCGCGATATATTCCACGTAAAGTTGAGCGATAATACAAAACGATTAATGGACCTTACTGACACAAGGCCGTGTTGAAATCTTGCGTAAAGTAATTTATGACGCACTTTCGATTCCAGTTATTTCATGCAATGGGACACCGTTTCTTTATAATTCATGCAAAATACACTCAAATAAATATTGTAAGATACAATTAACCGAGGTTTTATTAAAATATCTAGTGGCATAATAAAATACCAAATAGAAAAGTACAGTTTCTCGCTGCACACTGAACAATCTTAAACAGTCACTACACACTCAAAGCATAGCGAACAGACGTCCAACTTCTACCAGAAACTTGTGTAAAGATAAGTGGGAACGTCACCGATACATGGTGCTGCACACCAAATTTAAATCGCTGAAAATCAGCAAAATTTTGCTGATTTTAGACTTGATGAAAGCTCGGATGAAAGATCAGCATACTTTCCAGCAAAATATTGCTGCTGAATTTTTCCGCAATTCTAACTTCTGTCAAAATGAAAATATTTTACTGAAAATCAGCAAATGTTTCAGCTATATTTCTTTACTGATTTTCAGCAATAAAGAATTTTGACATTTGGCAGCATTTTGCTGATTAAACTATTAAACTCAGTAAATCGACATTGTTTTCACTATACAAATAATAAATACAAAATCGCCAGGCTCTTTTCCATGTATAATTTATTAAATATAATTAGTGTGCGAGCCAGTGTCCTTACCTACATAATTTGAAGTTTTTTACCTCCTGCGGTGTGGATTGTAAGAATGCAAAATACTTCCGACTGTGATGATAACAGTTTGACAGCTCTTAACTGGGTGTGCACTTAGTGCACTCACAGTCTTGTTCAGACTAAAGAGTTATAACATGTTATAGTGCTATATTGATGGTAGTTTCTGTGTTGCAATTTGCAATTTGACAACCGTTATAACAACTCCGTCTGGTTAAACTTTAAGTTGGCAAAAATTTTCATAACAAGAAAAACAAGTATAAAATGAATTCTGTGTGTGCTTTTCACTTCTCCCTCCCCTTATAAAATGTGTTTGGTCATTTTCCTTAACGACGTGTTCAGATATCAGCAATCATTTGGGTTATGTTTCGTTTATGGTATATTTTTATTAGGGTCCCAGGAATGGAGGAAAGTGAAATGGAACATTGCAAAACGGTTTGCATAATCAAAACAAAACAGCAAATAAGGCTACCAGAAATATGCTTATCTAATACACACAAAGAAAAGTCGTTTATAAAATTAAAAAATCCATTGGTAGATTTAAAAGTTTGCATTGGTTCTTTTTGGTAGAAAGCGGTTAGCTTTCAAAATAAAAGTCAACCAACCGTCAATTCAAAAGTTGTCCGCTCGATACTTTTAAAAGTTCATATTTTCAAATTGAATTGTAGAACTGTCAAATGAAAAATGTATTAGTGTTTAAATTAATGGTGGATTATTTTTGACTTGAAAATGTGGCATAGTTAAAATTAAATGGGCATTTTGAATTTAAACTAAAGAATTTTCAAAAAATATTTATTTGGCAAAAAAAAAATTGTTTTTAATTTTAGTGGATAAATTTTCAATCTTCTTTATTATTATTTTTCAATTGGATAAGATCCAATTTTTTTTTACATTGTTATTGTTATCTTTGTTGATGTTTACGTTATTGCGTCTTGGAGTTATTCTCGCTTTAAGTAAACCTGCTACAGGAACAGGTACATGGTGATGTCACAGATGCAGGGCTAAGGACAGAAGACAACCTCCAGCATTGTCAGCAGCGTGATTGTTTACCGGTGGAGATTTTACGGCAGTAGATAGCGGAAGGAAGGTGTCAAATTAGACCGTTTTCGGAGAGGGTTTCTGTTCATTCCTAGCCATCTCGTCCGCTCGCAGATGACTATTGTTTCGGTTTATCTGAATTTTATAAAAATCTCTAATTAAACTCTACTATTGTTCTTAAATTTGATCGCTTACCTGATGGGATAATTATTTTCCACGGAGGAAAATTATTGTCCTTCCCAACTTTTCCTCGCTCTTTGTGACACATCTGACGTCAAGCCAAATTAAGCGGCAAAACGAGGTCCAGTGCTGCCAAAAACTTTGCCTAGAAAATGTATTTTTGACAGTTGAACAACTTTCATTTTAAAAAAATGCACTTTTAAAATTACAAGTCGAAACTGAAAGAAAAACTTTCAAACCAAAAAAATAACTTTTATTTTGAATATTTTCGTTGTTAAAATAACGAAATTTAGGAAACTTTTAATTTGAAATGGCATTATTCTTATTAAAACAATTTTTGTTTTTTGTGTGTAGACGAGTGCACGAATGGATTTGAGTTCACTCACTTGACAAAAAGTGACACAACAGCGGGGCCCTGTTTACTAAAAATGAACACATATGTGTTCATTTTTAGTAAACAGGGCCCCGCTGTTGTGTCACTTTTTGTCGAGTGAGTGAACTCAAATTCATCCGTGCACTCGTCAATGGTGATAGGGTTTGTAGCTAGGGGAAGGACAGCTCCAAGTATAGGCTCTTTTCGTGCACCATCAATGTAGAGTGCGCTAGCCGATTTTGAGAGAAAATGTCATCCAACCCATTTGTTTACACCATAATGACTATATTCAAAACTCAAAATAATGTACATTTTAATGCACAACTTGCAAATTTCTATCAGGAGTGGTCTTATTTTTCGATTATCTACAGATCTGAACTGGTTTATAGCTGAAAAAACCACACATTAAAAATCCGGAAGGTCATAACCGCTGCGATAATTTTATAAATCTTAATTTTTCGCTTCAAAAATATATGGAAGCACTAGCCGGATCACTGCAAACCAGAAACATAAAACAAAATATTCCACGTGGATGATGATTTCAAGCACCTGCGGTGGATAAATTAATCAGGAAAGGTGAAAATATGTTCCTCTTCCTATGCTTCACGGTAAAAATTTCCACCCTCATCACTATTTTGAGGGTTCCTCTATTCACCGCCAGAGGCTGAATCAATCGCTTAGTTTCTATTGGATTCGCCTATTAGCATCAATACCGATGGTGAAAACACAGACAAACAGACATAACACTCACAAGCATTTAATGGTCAACTTCAAAGTATCTCAGTTGGTAGTACTGCCACCTGTGGTGCGCATAGTAAAATCCCTTGCGTTTGACGTTAACACACTACCGCCATCTGTTCAGCGTACTACCCACCACAGTGTACTCAACAGATGGCGGTAATGTTTTAGCAACGACGTTTTACAGTGAGCTTTTTTCTGTGTAATAGAATTTTCTTAGAAGCTTATGCCTTATGCCATCAGCCAACAGATGGGCTAGTATTTTTGTTTTGATTCGAACAAAGTGGATTTTGTGTGCAATGATCTTTGACAGTGTGCAAAGAGTGTATCATCAACAATCAATACGAAACTAACGATTTTAAATTGGAACGATTAACGTACCCTATTCTAGTTGAAATTCTATTACTACACTATGTTTGTTTTGATTCGCTATGAAAGTTTGACAGATAACATCAGGGGTGTGTGGATGCATGCAGAACATGCAGGGGTGAGTGAAATAGCTTGGGACTGCTTGGTACCGTTGTTCTGGTACTGAGTGAGCCAAAAATAATAATGATTTTCTTCGGGACCCAGTGGTCTTAGAGTTACCTCTATGGTATCATCTTGTAATTTTTTTATGCATTTCAGTTTTGAGTAGAGTGAAAGAGATAGAACAAAAACATTTTAGTACATTTGGTGAAAATGCTAGTACAATCCAGTAATAGCATAGAGGTAACTCTAAGACTAGAAGGTCCCGATGAAACGTGCTCAACTTTTTGGCTCAGCTCTGGTACTCTCTTCGGTCCCAAGCTAATCGATTCACCCCTCGAAATATAGGAAAATCCACTAACCCCTCATTTTATCTGTCAAACTTTCATAGCGAATCAAAACAAACATTGCGTAGTACTAGAATTTCGACTAGAATGGGGTACGCTAATCAATTTGCTTGGGACCAATAGGCTAGGCAAGTAGTGAGCCAATTTAAAATCGTTAGTTTCGTATTGATTGTTGGTAATAGTGTTAGTGTGGTACATTGAAAAATTGCAATAGTAGGTTTGTCACCAAAGATTTCGAGTCTGTCACTTCGTTTGTGATATAACCACAGACAAACAGACATAACTCTCACAAGTTGTTAATCGAACAAGCATTTAACGGTCAATTTAAACGTATCTTAGTTAGTAGTACCAACAATCGATACGAAAGTAACGATTTTAAATTGGCTCACTACACAGCAAAAAAAATGTAATATCGATCAACGTAATTCAAGCTGATGTATGAAATAATGATGTAATAGCAAAAAGCAGATACAATATTACATCAATGGATGTAATTTTGTTCGCAAAATCGATGTACATCGTACAACGTTACAGTACACAACCGATGGATTGTCCAGGTTGCAGCAGTTTCCATGTAATATTCAACAACTTTTTGACGTAAGACTACGTCTGTGATTTCTATATGGGGATACACTTTGTGAAAACCGAAAATGGAACATGTAACTAAATTATGAAAGATTTTGAACGTTAATAACTCAGCTGCCCCTTGACCAATTTCAATAATTTTATCACCAATCGATCAGAAATATTCTTACGCATCTGCTTAATTTAAGACTTTATCATTTTTCAAAATGTCACTATTGAAAATTTCACGAATGTGCATCTGTTGCTATGATAACTAAAATTATCACCGATTGCCTGCGAAAAGCGATTTCCCTAGCACAGATTTCAAAGTTGAATTCCATTCGGTCTCACCAAACGGTGTTTATTCAATCACCGCATAGTGAGTGGTGGTGTTATCCAGGGCTGCTCTCAACAGCTGATCGCATTCAGTTCCAATCACTGTGTGTGGTGGTATTGGAAGATTGCCGCAAAAGCTCAACGCTGATGTCGCCACTACATGATGATGATAATGTTTACAGACTGCATATCAAATTCGTGAAACTTAGCATTAAATCATAATTTTCATCAAGCCTGCGTGAAATCCTTCCAATATAACATTCGAATTGAAGAAGAAAACGTTTTTACGATCAGACTGAAGTGCATCTCTGACTTTTCCAGGTGAACTTTCATAAGATATATTCATTTCATTTCACGGCTCAATCAATGCTGCATCGTAAATATGATGGTAAACAGAAGTAAATTGCTCAATTACTCAAAATAAAGATGATTTGTCATCTTGTTATCACTTTGAAGACCATCTAGCACCATTTTATAGTATGGTGCGTGTTGAGTAAATCAAGTTCCGGTGCGTTTTCCGTCAAAAATTGTGAGTATCAATATGTTTGCTTAAAAAAGGCCAAAATGAACATTTATTGAATATTGGCGTCCTATACAACCAATTTTCTATACGCCTTTTTAATGCACCACCAACGTAGAGTGCGCCACGCGAGTTCGAGAAGAAACGTCAACCAAACCGTTTGTTTACATTAGAATAACAATTTTTCACAACGCAAATTAAAGCATTCTTCATTCAGCATCTTGCCAATTTCTATCGGTAATTGACCACTTTGTCAAGCAGTTTTGGTGTGACTTTCTACCAGCGATTTCACAAAACTGGACCAACTAATTTCTATTTTTTTTGAGAAACGCACATATGTTGGCTACTTTTCTCGAGGTTCTAGAAGAAAAAATCTTAAAATAATGTTTCATTTCAAAGTTCGAGTGGTAGTAAACGTCATTTTATCTGCTCGAATGAAGTGGTTAATTGTCTTATTTTACGATTTTCACCAGATCTGAACTGATTTGTACCTTAAATATCCACACACAAGAAATCCGGAAGATCATAACCACTAACGCACTTTTCTAATTTTCCATTTTTCGCAACAAAAATATTCCTGTACACCAGCAGGATGTTTGCAAAAATGTTACAGAATTAAATTTTTCAACTGTAGATTAAGTTTTGGAGCATCTCAGATGAATCAATTTATCAGGAAAAGTAAAAAAGTGTTCCGCTTCCTATGTCTCAAGCGAGGGGGGCGACACATCTAAATCTCAAGTCTAGATGCTCAACAAATCTCACACTAGCGAATCAATCTTCGAAAAATCTTCTTTCATTTCTCGCATCTACTTGCATCACGCATCATCTTTTAGCAGGAAATCTTCAGAATCGTCATCAATCTTCTTTCTATCTACTCAGCGTGCGTGCAGCTAGCCACAGCAAAACACAATCTTTTCTGCATCGTAGATAGAGTCGCCCCCCTCGGTCTCAAGGCAAAAATTTCTGCTCACAACACTCTTTTTGACGTTCTCCTATTCACCACCAGAGGCTGAATCGATCGTTAAGTTCCTATTGACGTCTTGCAGTGAAACTTTTCCAAGCTTTCGCCACCTACATTTCGAAGTGAATACTACTAGAAGGAGGATAGTTTCCAAATTTTCCAAGTAAAACTGACGCTTTTTGGGGCAAATCGGTCCATAAAGAAAAACTAATAATTTCCCGTGGAAACTTTTGCTTGAATCGTGTAAGAAAACGTGTTTGAAAACTATTTGTTATTATTTCGGTATGGATCGGAGATGTTTTCATGGCAAATTATGCATAACAAGCACAGAGAACAGACATGGAGGCTCAAACAAAATTTCTCTAAAAACTTGTGTTAAGATTCCTATTCGACTTAAGCGCCACTAACGGCGACTTCCCCACTTAAAACCCCTCTTTGACAACATGATGGCACTGGCGTTGCACAAATTACACTAGACACTAAGTGCTAGTAGCGCCAAGTGGCAATTTTCAACAGAAAATTTATCGATACTAGCGCCAAATTGGTCATAAGTGGAAAATTTATAGAGAAAATCAGGAGATGCTAACACCACGTAACGGCGACGTTCCCACTTATTTTACACAAGTTTCTGACCGAACTTGAACGTCTGTTCTCTGTGGCAAGACGCAAAATTTGAAATCACTTTCATAGTTCTTCTATTCTCCACGGGGGCTAGCTTTGATTTGCCTATTCACAACCAGAGGTTTCAATACATAAGCTATAGTTCATTCGTGAAAACATTTGCCCGATGGGCAAGGTTCCGTTTTCAATCCGTTCCCCGTTGTTCTAATCTGTCAGAATCGGCGCATCGCAGGTTGTTTACAAACATTGGGCCGGAAATAATTCCGCGCAACGAAATTCTTGAAAACGTATTAAATCCTGTTAAAATATCTTCATTTTTAATTTAAAGTTAAGTAAAATGGTAAGTAGAAGTTACTACGATCCAGTTAGTCAAGTTTTACATTGAAAATAATGCCTTTTTTTAGCTCCCGCTATCGCTTCTCAAAACGGCACAGAGTCATCCTATGGTGAGTACAATGTGGCGGTCACATAGCTTTAATTTGATTTATAAGTAATTATTCAAAAAAGCACAACTGATTCATCGTTTAGTAACATTGATTATTGAAATTTTGGGCTGATAGTTTCCACACACATGCGGTTAGTTGTTCTTTTTGCTGTCCGTACACGCACCATCCCAACCGTGTCTTCATGGCGGACGGTTCCTTCTCGATGTTTAAGATGCAACACCAACCGAAAATGTATTGTCTGAACATTTTTGTTTTCTGGAGACACCTGGTTACCCTCTTCCGTCATTTTTATTCGAATAGCTATGATTTATGTTTTCTTGTTATTAGCCCAATTTTTGTTCGATGTGTTGAGGTTGAGAAGAGACCAGGCCGCTTTCAACAGCTATTTTTGTGTATCTCGTCTATGCGTGCCTTGGTAAGAAGGGAATATACTGGAATATACCTACTTTCAATTTATATATGCTTTCTTTTTTCTATATTTGAAAGATATTTTGAGCCTTAGGCTAGTTCATCTCTTTCTTTATATATGCGGTTTATTCGGGGTAGTGCGTTTTTTCTCGTTTATTTTTTTCCGAATATTTTCTTGAACGAACTTTTTGTGTGTTATGGTGTACCGTATAGTAGCAACCTTAAAGTTCGTCAATTTGTTGTTCTTAGCATCTCGAACAATCCATTCCCGCATTCTGCAATCTAATTTTAATTTATAAATGAGTGTTAATTTATAAAAATTATAAAACTTACGCTTGAAAACATGAAGAAGCCTGGTAATTCCAACTCGTCCAACAACGACGAAAGTGCACTTTCTTCTATCGCCATTTTTGAATTACGAATACGACAAGAAATTGTTCATACCATGAAATCACGAAAAACTTACTTGAATTTCACTTAACCTTCACCAGCATGACATGTGGACTGGTCCAGTGAATCCAGTGGAATTCATTGCCATGTCATTGCATTGCAGGTGCGGCACGTGTACCTTATTGAATTTCAAATTTGAAAAGGTTACCTGAACTTTCAGGTAGAAATTACCTTTACCGTTGGTTTAAGATATAATATCAAAAAAATGGTCTAGGAAAATTTTCAAGCTCTCGACATTTGTTCAAAAGCCAGAAATTTGAATAATCTTTAACCCCCGGTAGCTTTAGTAGGTATTTGTCCAAATATCGAGAAAAAAAAACCATGTCACAGATTTTTGAGTTCCCTTTTAAGTTTTTTTTTTCACACTAATATTCCAGTAATACAAAAACAAAAATTCCAGGCCCAGGACTTAGAAAAAAATTAAAGGACTCTAAAATGTATTCTTAATATCTAATTTTTCACGATCGAGATTTTAAGTCCTAGACGCATTCAATTTTGTTTTATGTCCGTGCTCATTTTTTTTTATTATAGTCACTTTAACACTCTTGGGTCATTCGAGACTTGTCTGGCGTGAGAGGTACGGATTCTAACCACTACGCTGAGGTCCCCCCTGTCCGTGATTATTCCATCTGGGAAAATTTTCCTCGCGCCATGATGCGATTTTTTGCGAGCTTTCTTTTACAAAAAAAAAAAAATACTGAAGATGGGATGTTTTACTGAGCTTTTTTCTTTCAGTATATTTTTTTCTCAAAGAACATTCGATTTCCTTCAACTTCATCTCAGATATCATTTGGATCAGATCAATAATTTTCATGTTATAATTTAAAAAAAAATCTATTTTTTAATACGCCCTTTTCAAAATTCAATCTTGAAAAAAAATTATAATTAGATGAAAAATGCAACCATTGGTAGGCAGCGACATGTGAGCAATGTTTTATTCAAATCGGAAGGGGTCGAGAAATGCTCCATGACATAAGAAAAAGGCACATATCGCACGATAGGTAGATTAATTAGTTAAGCATCTGATTTTCAGTCCGCATCGTGCTCTTTTGCCGTGCGGATCTATTTGCTTTTTGCTGAAGGAAGTTGCTACCTAAAGCTACAACAAATTTAAACAGCACTTTTCAGTGCTCAACCTGTAAAATTTCTACCTTGTTTGACTCTTAGTCCTCTTTGATCCTTGTTTGGACCCTACCCCAGGGATTCCTTCTTGGATATCGATTTGGAAAATTTCTCTTCGATCCTTCAGATTCTCATAGTAATCTGCTTGGAAGTCCATTTGGAGAAACTTCGTTCTGCCGCCATGGCGCCTAAGCGCAAAAGAAAAGGGCAAAGGTTTGATCCCCCTTCTGATGAAATTAATTTGAGTAATCAGTTTGATTTGCTCACGGGTGATGAGAAAGATCCATCATCGAAGAAAAATTCTAGTAAACTTTCCCGGCTTAATGCCAAGAAGCAAAAGATTCCCCCTATTTCCACTGAACGTGTGTTCAAGGTTGCCATGAAAGGACTGCCCAGTGGTGAATCCCTGGATCAGATCAAAGATGAACTGGCAAAATTACTTGGAGTTGTGCCACTCCAAGTAATCAAAATGAAAATGAAATCCCGTCCTGGCGATTCGCGCAACGGGATTTCTAATGATTTTTATTTAGTTCACTTCAAGTCTAGGCCTTAGAAAAAGCTAGCCTTATGCTCCATGTCCGAGTGAAGTGGGAACACTTCAGGAAGACTGGAGGAAATTTCCAAAACCTCACCTAGTGCCGTAAGTGCCAGGGATGGAGTCACGGAACTAAAAATTGCTACATGCCAGCTAAATGCATGAATTCTCGAGTAACATTTGTAATGGACCTATGTCCAAAACGTCAACAAATCGGGTTCATACCATTCTTTAGCACCGCTTGATAGCTACTAATCGTGTAAGAAAGTTCCGCATAATCGAGAAAAATCATTAAAAATAACTCGATTTTCGAAATGGCCGATCAACGAAATTTTTCGATTCATTAATAGGCCCGCACGCTAAAACGGCCAACCATTCATTTATTTCATTTCATTGATAAGCCTAGCGACGTAGAAGGGCCGATGATTGAAAAATTTCAAACCAAAGCTAGGCACTACTGCTTGAGGCAGGGCCGATGATTTGTTTTGAATTTATTTGACGTTGCGAAAAGGCTCAGCAAAGGGCCTACCATTTCTGATGACAAGCACAAGGGCTTAACAAAAAGGGCCTATCCATTGAAAGATTCACAAAAAAGGCTTATTAATTTATGAAATTATATTGTTATCGATTTTCATATATTTTTGAAAGCTTTTCGCAAATTTTGGATGTTGTATACTGAGATACAGTTACTATTGTTATTGTGAACAATATAAATGCCTAAAATACTTCAATTTTCTTAAATATGAATTGAATAGTGGCGGTCAAAATTTAAAATTCATTTTCTGGTTTGTTTACGTTTTGGACATAGGCCCATTTCAAATGTTACTCTAGAATTGTGGTGATTCCTCTCACGCAAAGGACGACTGTCCTGGGAAGGAAGATCCTAAGAAATTTAAATGTTCAAATTGTGGTGAAAACCACAAATCCAATTTTTGGGAATGTAAGACTCGCAAAGCGATCCTACAATCTCGTTCTAACCGTCAGGTAGGAAACGCTCCACGTTTCCGACCAGGTACAAATTCCTCTGCTGTTAAAAACGGTCAGCGAGGAACAAATTCTACATTCGTACCCGTAGGTACAAATATCACCCATGCTTCAAATTTGTCATCTGTACCTACTCTCCTCGCTGCTAACAATGTTCAGCGAGTTAATGCAATAGCAGCAGGTAGAAATCAAAATACTAACCAACGTAATTCTAACGGATATTTTGACAATTTTGACTTAGGAAGCATTACTGCCCCTAAAATGGAATTTTTACAGAAATCATTAATTGACATGATTTCTGATATGCTTAAATCTAACTCCATGTTTGATGCTATTTAAACTGGAGTAAAATTTGCAAATAATATTGTCATGACTTTAAAATTCAGTAATGGATTTTAAAGCATTAAATATTTTAAATTGGAATGCTCGATCCCTTAAAGATAATAAAGACGAGCTATTTAACTTCTTGAGAGTTCATAACGTGCAAATTGCCGTTATAACTGAAACGTTCCTGAAACCTGACCATAAGGTTAAGAAGGACGCAAATTACTTGATTTATAGAAATGATCGTCTTGATGGACCCTGTGGTGGCGTTGCCATCATTATTCATAGACGAATCAAACATAAAATTCTTTCTTCATTTGAAACCAAAGTTTTTGAAACTTTGGGAGTTTCTGTTGAAACAAAATTTGGACAACTTACGTTTATAGCTGCCTGTTTGCCATTCCAATGCGTAGGCCAGCAAAAGAATTTTCTCAAGGGTGACCTCCAGAAACTTACCCGTCATAGGTCTAAATTCTTCATTATTGGTGATTTTAATGCAAAACACCGCTCATGGAATAATGCTCAAAGCAATTCCAATGGTAATATTCTGTTTGATGATTGTTCTGCAGGTCAATATCCAAACAGCCCAACATGCTTTTCTTCTGCAAGAAATCCCTCCACTATTGATTTAGTCTTAACTGATTCATGTCAACTTTGTAGCCAACTGGTTACCCATGCTGACTTCGGTTCTGATCACCTTCCAGTAACTTTTGAAATATCCCAAGAAATAATTTGTAATCCCAACAGCTCTACTTTCAATTACCATAGAGCTGATTGGGAGCAGTATCGAACATTTATGGAATATAACTTCGATCCAAACATTCCTTTGCAAACCAAAGATGAAATTAATTATGCTCTTGAATCTCTGACTTCTTCTATAGTTGAAGCAAGAGCTGCCTCAGTACCAAAATGCGAGGTTAAATTCGATTCAATTATAATAGACGACGATCTTCAGCTCTTGATCCGTCTTAAAAATGCCCGTAGAAGACAATATCAAAGAACACGCGATCCTGCCATGAAAGTTATCTGGCGGGATTTGCAAAAACAAATTAAAAAGCGATTCTCTGCCCTGAGGAACAAAACTTTTGAAAATAATGTTTCTAAGAGTTGGTTGGAAATGCTAACATGAAGCTTTTAGTGTGATGATTTATTAGCTAGAGAATGATCTTTAGAAGAG